CATTTATTCACTCGATAGCTACTGTGTGCCAGGCATTGGGGACACAGCTGTGATCAGGACAACCACAAATTCCAGTGCTGGGGGAGATGACATACGAATGGGGCAAATGGATGAAAACAAGATAAATAAGAAAAACATGCACCACAGCAGAGTGATGTGTGCTAGGGAGAAAAATAAAGTGAAGAATGGAGTCCTGAAGGCTCCAGGCATCATCTCCCTCACCCAAGCGGGGGGGCCAGACTCCTTCTTTGCTCAGCCTAATAAGGGGGATCATAGGATATTGTGAGGAGAGGGAGCCAAAGCAAACTGGAGACGCTTCCTTCTTGTCATGTGACCTCTCGGCCTCAATTTTCCCCTCTGTAAATGGGGATCACAGCCCACACTTAGGAGATTGTTAAATGAATTGCTACGTGTAAGAAGCCATGGTGGGCACCCTGTGCACCATTTTCATTAACAATATGATTGCTTTGGTTCATGGTCAACCTCCAAACAGCTCCGGTAATTCCCATTTCCTCTCCCATCTCACGTGGTGACATATGTTTACTTTTTTGATGAAACTCTCACCTTTTAAACAGTATTAACAAATACAAAATTCAATAGGCACAAAAAAGGTAAAAAACATAAAGTCTCCCACTTTTGCTGATCATGGCTCCCAGTTCCCCTCCCTAGTGGCCACCAGGGGAACAAGTTATTCATGTTTTGATGCAGAGAATCTATGCAGAGGAATCCTCATTTTTCTCTTTCTACATAAACTAAAGCTTCTTGCCCAGGCAGGCTTGCACCTTGCTTTTTCCTTCACGAAGTCCTCCCACATTGTCAGCATTGTGCTGCCTTATTCTTTTGCACAGAGGCATACTATTCCATGCTGAGAATGTCCATAGTTTTCCAGCAAATCCTCTGTAGCTGGGCATTTGGGTCGTTTGTTCATTTATTTTTATTTTTTTTTTAGATTCCACATATAAGACATTGCACATATTTTAAATGTATATGTTATGCTGTTTTGACCTGAGAGTAAATCTGTGAAACCATGACTACGATCAAAATTAATTTACATGTTCCAAAATTTTATTCGTAAGCTTTGTGCTTGCTTCTTTCACTCAGCATAATGATTCTGAGATTGCTCCATGTTGGTGCATGTATCAATAGTTCATTCCCTTTTATTGTCAAGTCCATTCCACTGTATGGCTAGACCAATCATTGTATGGTTGTTCATCTCTTCACCTGCTGGTGGACATGTGGGTTGTTTTCAGTTTAGAACTATTACAAATAAAGCTGCTACAAGTATTCATCTACACCTATGAGTGGATCGTAGGGTAATTCTATGTTTAAGAAACTGCCAAGCTGTTTTGCATAGCAGCTGCACTATTTTGCATTCCCACCAGCAATGCATCACCAACTCTTATTGTCTGTCTTTCTAATTTTGCCCATTCTAGTGGATGTGAGGTGGCATCTCATGGTGGTTTGGATTTGCATTTCCCTGATGGTTAATGACATTGAGCATCTTTTTATGTGCTTGTTGGCCATTCATATATCCTCTTTGGTGAAGTGTCTGTTCAGATCTTTTGCCCATTTTCTGATTGAGTAGCTTGTCTTTTATTATTGAGTTGTTTATATATTCTGGATACAGATATTTTGTTTATTTAATATATACGTTGCAAATATTTTCTCTTGACCAATGTCTTGCCTTTCTGTTTTCTCGGTGGTGTCTTTTGGAGAGCAAAATGATGTAGTTTAATTACCAACTTTTTCTGAGAAAACTTTGCCTACTCCAACTTTGTAAAGATTTGCTCTTATGTTTCTTTATAGAAGTCTTAGAGTTTTAGATTTTACATTTAAGTCTGTGATCCATTTTGAGTTGATTTTGTGTATGGTGTTAGGTAAGGGTTATTGTTAGTTGTTTTCCATGTGATCCCCAGTTGTTTTAACACCATTTGCTGAAAAGACTTTCTTTTCCTCCATTTAATTGCCTTAGAATCTGAGTCAAAAATCAACTCTCTCTCTCTCTATATATGTCTAGTACTCTCTATTCTGTTTTCTTGATCTATATGTCTATCTTTTCACCAATACCAAATTGTCTTGATTATTGTAGCTCTATAATAAGCCTAGAAATCAGATAGAATAAGTCCTCTGACTTTTATCTTCTTTTAAGAAATTGCTTTGGTTATTCTAGGTCCTTTGCAATTCTATATACATTTTAAAGTTGGTGCCAGTTTCTTTAAAAAAAAAAATTCTGCTGAATTTAGATTTGAATTTCACTGACTGTAGATTAGTTTGGGGAGAATTGACATCTTAACAACAGTGAGTCTTCCAATCCATAAACATGGTACATATTTCCATTTATTTAGATCTTATGAATTTCTCTGAACGATATCTGTACTTCTTAGTGTAGAGATCTTAGACTTATTTTGTTAGATTTATACCTAGATACTTTATCTTTTTTGCTGCTATTGAAAACGGGATTACATTTTTTTAATTGTTCGCTGCTTGTATATAAGGATATATAGCATATAAGAATGCAGTAGAATTTTGTATATTAACTTTTTCATGTGTGAACTTGCTAAATTCATTTATTAGTTCTAGTAGTTGTCATAGATTTCCTTGAATTTTTTACATAAACAATCATGTAATCTGCATATAGGGACAGTTTTTCTTCCTCCTTTCCAATCTTTATGCCTTTTATTTATTTTTCTTGCCTGATGGCAATGGCTGTGACCTCTAGAATAATGTCGAATAGAAGTGGCGAGAATAGATATCCTTGTCTTGTTCCCAGTCTCAGGAGAACACAATTTGGCCTTTCGCATTAACTGTAATATTACCTGTAGATTTTTTGGTAGATGATCCTTATCAGCTTGAGGAAGTTCTTATTTATATCTAGTTTGCTGAGAGGTTTTTTTAAAATCACAACAAGGTGTTGAATTTTGTCAAATCTTTCTTTTATCCATGGAAATGATCATAAGTTTTCATGGTACTTTTAATTTGCATTTCTCTTATTATGAGTAAGGCTGAGCATCTTTTTCTGAGTTTAAGAGCCATTTGTACTTAATTTTCTGTGATTTGGGGGTTCATAGCCAGCCTGCTGAATTACTGGCATTTTATTACTTTCTAGGAATTGCTTGCATAATGAGGACATTTCATCGATGATGTGAGTTCAACTTTTTACCTGTCTCCTTTGTTTGTTCTTTGACTGTATTTATGGGCTCTTTGCCAGCAGAAAATTTGGGATGTTTTGCATCACTTATGTTTCCAATTTGTTCTTGGGCAGATCCTGGGCTTTGCCTCCCCAGAACCTCCTCCTGGAGCTTTCATCTGCCCCTCTCTGGGGCTGAGAATTTGTCCTGACCCTGTTCCCCTCTTGCTCATTCTCAAAATCCCGCAGTTGTCAGGGTCCTAGAGGCTGACTCCCTGTCCTTCCTGGAGGGAGGAGTCTCCATTTCAGAGAAAAGGATGGGAGCATGTATGTATGTGTATTTCTCTCTGCTGAAGCCACCCAGGAAGTGAAAGAAAAATACTATGGCTAAGCCTCCACATAATGCTTCCTGCCACAAGCCTGCTGTGGCTCCCACTGCACTAAGGATGCAACCCATATGCCTTCCTTCCACCACAAGGCCCTGCCGATGCCTCTAAACAAGTCTCAGCGTACCGTGTCCCTGCCATCCTCTCTCTCTGCCACCTCGCCCTTCTCAAAAACACTCTTTGTCCAGCGTCCCAGCCTTTACTTGGGGCGTACCCTCTGCTGGAACTCCTGACACCTCCACATCCAGATCTGTCTTTGGATTTTAGTATCAAAGTCTCTTCCTCCTGTCTTCGGATTTTAGTATCAAAGTCTCTTCCTCCAGGAAGACTTCCCAGACTTGGGGGTCTCTCCTAGAAGCCTGGCCCCAAAGGCTACCGCAACAATTCATAAGTAATAATTTGTATGTTGTCATCTCCCTGACAAGACTGTCAGCTCCACTAGTCAGAGATTGGATCTGCTCTTGTACCCTGTTGTGTCAATACCATGCACACAGGAGGTGCCCAATAAGTATCTGTGAGTGATTGAATTAAAGTCTATAAAATACATATCCAAGCCATTTGGGGGCCAGGATTTGTGATGAGATTACAGAAATAAAAGGGTCCTCTAAAATCTCTCCCCAAATCGCTTCCAGGGCTGTGCATCTTACTAAGGACACTGGTCTCACCTGGACGCCGCCCTGGTCTCCTGCCTCCTCCAATCATGACAGCCTCGGGGGCATTGAAAAAAAGATCAATGAGACCTGACCTCTGCTGCTCACCCTGCTTTCCCCTTTCTCCTTACCTCTTCCTGCTCTACCAGCTTCTTCTCGGCTCCTTAAACTGCTTAACTCATCCCACCTTTTGTCCATGCGGTGCCCTCCACCAGGAGTGCTCTCATATTTCAGCTGAGTTGATCCTGGCCTCTGCGCAGAGCCCCCTACCCACCATCCCCCACCTCCCAGCCCTGGCCTGTGCCTCCCTGCCAGGCAGATGACGAGGTGTTCCCAAGAGCAGGCCTGGTTGCCAGGCAGGGCTAGGCTTAGGGCGCTGTGCGCAACAGGGGCTCTGTCTTTCCCAGGGTCTCCTGGGAGAAATACTTGGAAGGAGAACTTGACCTTTGTCTGGGGCAACTTCACAGCCTCATTCATGGGCAGATCTAGCCCAGTTCCTTTCCCTGGGTGCAGAAGGGGAAATTCCTCTGGGTGCCCAACCCACACATACCACGGATGGGTAAACTAAGGCCCAAGGAGCTGGGGTGTTGCCAGGGCCCCACAGAGAGTGGGTCCAGAACCCATGAAACCCCTGTGTAACCACCTCTGTGCTGTTACCCCTTCTCTTGGGTCTGGGGGGTCTCCAGCAGCCTGTCTTAGCAGGGCCGCTGCTGTGCAAGCTTCCGGAACTTTCTGCCCCTCCCCAGCTGGGCCCTCTTGCCTCCCCGCCCCCACCCCTACAAGGCCATGACTTTCGGTAAGTGACAGCTACTCAGGAAGCTGAGGGGCCCGCACAGGAAAGAACCCAGTGGGACTTTCCTCCCACTGCCACCGGCTCTGCCCTCCCGACTTGGCCCAGGGTCCCCACCTGCCAGGTAAGATCTGGAGGTGCCACATGGCTCTGGCCGGGCAGAGTGGGTAGTTGATTTTGGCTGGGGATGACAGGGCAGATGGAGGGTACTGTGACAGCAAAGGCAAGTTCGCTTTCCAGGCCTCCAAGGAAAGCTGCTGGACAGACATGAGCTAGAATGGCTGGCTGTGTGGGCTCTGGCAAACACTCCCCTCTCTGGGCCTCAGCTTTGGCGTAAAATGAGGCCTCATGTTCCCAGCTCTTGAGACTTGAATGAATCGCTGTGCAGGTGTGGGGGCATGGGGAGTTCAGTGCCTCTGGGGAAACAGTTCCCAGGGCAGACCGTCCCAGGCCGCAAGCCGGAGCATAGGATGACCAGCCATTCTGGAAGGTGGGACTTTTGGTGTTAAAAGGGGCATTTTTCTGGGCCCCGAACCCTGAGTTTTCATCTCTGACTTTTCCTTTTTTCGCTTTCAATATTTAAAGGATCATTTTTTTTTTTTAAACACAACATTTATTTTAAACAGATGTGCTGTGTGATTCCATTTATATAAAAGTGTAAAGACAGGAAAGATCAGTTTGGCTATTAGAAATAGGGCAGTGGCCCCCTCTGTGCGGAGTGACAGGGGTCCCAGTGTTACCGGAGAGTGGGGTTCCCCTCTTGGAGGGTTGTTTAGGCTCTTGATGTCTCGAACAAAGAACTGAGCAAGACACCAAAATACAGCAGAAAAGAATAGCTTTATTAGAAAGGAAAGCAAAGTAACAGTACACTTCCAGTTGTGGAAGTGGCCAGAGCAAGAGAAGAAAGAGCAGCTCAAAAGGCTCAAGGCCTTAAAGGAACAGTAACAAACTCTTTGGGGTTTTTATCCTTGTTTGCTGTGGGTGGTGATTTTTCTTAGAGGGGTGGGCTTTCTTGATTGACAACTAAGATGGACAGGACCCAGTGACTCATCATTTGCTTTCTGCGCATGTTCTTTCCCAGAATTCAGTCTGTTATAATGATATTAATGAACTTCCGGGCATATGCATCGTAGCATAATGATGGAATAATGAGGCTCAGGTGAAATGAAGGTCATTGGGGTCTTCATTGCACAAGTGCGAGTGACTGGCTGAAACTAGTACCCAGTTATCTACTTACCTGTTTCCTTGCATGAGTTACTTTGAGCCCCCAAAAGGCTTCTGGCTTGCTTAATTGTGGGCAGATTAGGGCGGACCCTTTCTAGAATAGGATGACCTAACTGTCTTTGCTGGAGGACACGGAAACCCCCTAACTTTCCAGCCTAATCCTTATCTAAGAGCCATTAACTCCCTTTTTATTAGTATTGATCCAGGGCAGCGATTCTCAAAATGTAGTTCCCATACCCCTGGGGAAGCCAAGAATTTCAAGGGAATATCACGATTTCCCTGCCTGCCCTAGTCAGGACGGGGTCTTGGGTTTTCTGCTAAAGTGCTGCCTCAGTCTCTAGACAGGAAAAAGATACAAACTTGTTACTTGAATTATATATCTAGGTACATTTCTATTATTGATTTGCCTATCAAGCGGGTAAAGGAAATCAGGCTTGACTAATATATTTCGTAAAAGAAAGAAAAAAAGAACTTGGGTGAAAGGTCCCCTCCTCGGACTCCAAGGGTCCTGTTTTGGCTGAAAGCCACTCCTGTCTTATGATGG